ACGTTTCGCAAGCACGAGTGGCTTGCATCTTCAGAAGTGGTTTGCTTGAACGCTTACACTGTTCCGATGCGATTCCTCGGGCGCGTCCGTATTTATACAACCGGTGCATAAATACGGACTGCAAAATTTGCTTCGCATTTTTCAAAAATAAATTTCTCAGAAACGAAAAATGCTCTCCAAGCTCAGAGTTGTGCGTTCAGTAAAGAAGAGTGCGCCCTAAAAGTCTCCAAAATTTCGAACTTCGCTCATCGTTAAGGAAACTTTCCTTACGATTTCAAAAAACTGTTGCGAGACACAATTTGCTTCGCGTTTTTCGAAAATAAATTTCTCAGAAACCAAAAATACTCTACAAGCTCAGAGTTGTGCGTTCCGTAAAGAAGAGTGCGCCTTAAAAGTAGCCAAACTTTCGAACTTCGCTCATCGTTAAGGAAACTTTGCTTACGATTTGAAGAAACTGTTGCGAGACACAATTTGCTTCGGGTTTTTTGAAAATAAATTTCTCAGAAACGAAAAATGCACTACAAGCTCAGAGTTGTGCGTTCAGTAAAGAAGAGTGCGCCCTAAAAGTCGCCAAAATTTCAAACTTCGCTCATCGTTAAGGAAACTTTGCTTACGATTTGAAAAAACTGTTGCGAGACACAGTTTGCTTCGCGTTTTTTCAAAAATAAATTTCTCAGAAACTAAAAATGTTCTACAAGTTCAGAGTTGTGCGTTCAGTAAAGAAGAGTGCGCCCTAAAAGTCGCCAAAATTTCGAACTTCGCTCATCATTAAAGAAACTTTGCTCACGATTTGAAAAAACTGTTGCGAGACACAATTTGCTTCGCGTTTTTCGAAAATAAATTTCTCAGAAACGAAAAATACTCTACAAGCTCAGTGTTGTGCGTTCCGTAAAGAAGAGTACGCCTTAAAAGTCGCCAAAGCACCGGTTGCATAAATACGGACGCTCCCGAGGAATCGCATCGGAACAGTGTAAGCGTTCAAGCAAACCACTTCTGAAGATGCAAGCCACTCGTGCTTGCGAAACGTCAGGACGGTCTAAAAACCCGAAAAAGCCATTAGGTTCAAATAAAGAAATGTTTGTCATACATGCATAAATTGTGCCGGCACTGAAGTTCCTACTTAATAAATCGGCGATAAACAAATAGATCGACTGAAGAAGCCGAAAATCGTATTTTTTCTCCAGTTGAAGATGAAGAGATCTTTGATTATTTAACAACAAACTGCCAAGCTATAAAACCCAAGCAAAAACTTCAGCAACAAAGTCTTCCGTAAAAGAATAGTCAAGACAAAAATTTAAAAACAATCAAAACTAAAACTCAAAATTAATGTTAAGCTATCGAACTCAAAGCAAATTTACAGATCTCGATCATTTGCGTCTAAATAAGGAAATGTGCGTCACACGTTGATAAATTATGCCAGTCCTGAAGTTGCTGAACAAATCGGCGATAAAGAAATCCTCTGGTTCAACTTTGAAAGTCGAAAATTCGCATTTTTTCCCAGTTGAGGAGGGAGTTTTCACGAATACACGCTATTTGGTGCCTTCAGGCTTAGCCCCCCAATAACAAGCCCCATTTTAACTGTTGCATCTATATGTTCCTGATGTTTTGGTCGTTTTGGTGCCCCACTCAACTCCAAAAGTTTCTGAAAAACTGCCGCGTTGGGAATTGGGTTA